GGCCCGAGCTGGCAGGGGGCCCGGGAACGGTGAGGAAATGGGTCTGAGTGAAGACACCATCTGTTCGCTCCAGGTAAAGCTGTGATTGGCAGGCGTGCGAGCCAGAGCCGCCCGCTGGCGGGGCCCTCCCTCCGTGGCCTCTAACAGATATACAAGTAAACAATCCGCCAGCCACTTCTGACCACCGCGGGCGGCAGGCTCAGGAGGGGAGGCAAGCTAATCAAACATTCAAGGAGGAGCACAACAGAATCTCCGCTGCTCAGGCAAAATGAGGTTTTGCTGAAGTCCAGCCAGGAAGGGGGAAGGTTTGACTCAAAGCTATGGAGCCGCTCCTCACACTCTGCTTTTCTCTCTCGAAATGTGCTCACATTTCAATCATGTCACTGAGTGTCTGCTGCTGGATCTATTAATTGGCCCTTGCACTGGTTCTAATCCATCTGTCTTTTCGGCCCAAAGCTCTCATGGACCTTCTTGAAGTCTCTGATATGCTATTGCCTGTGTCTCTTTGCCACTTAGATCCAAGTCTAAACATGCTCTTTGCAGGAAGATTGTTATCAAATGACTTCAGTCATTTCCTTCTTTTTTTCTGGTCCTCAATTGATAGTGCACGCCTAGAAACCACCCCGCCTAGGAGCCGGCTCTACAACTGAGGAATCTGGGAGGTGGGGAGAAGCTGACTTTATACCCCGAGTCCTCAGAGTCCTGTCCCGAGCCCGGCCCCAGGTGAGCTCACTCACCCTGCAGCTGCCCCTGAAACAGTGACTCCCACAGTGCCACCTGCAGTCCCTCGTCCCACCCTGGGTGCCAGGTCAGCAAGTCCAGCTGTACTCTGGATGCATTCGCGTACACGTCCCCGGTCACCTCAAGCTCAATAAGGGCAAAATGGAACCTGTGTTCTTGCCTCTGCCACCGAAACCACTGCCTGCTGGAAACCAGTCCAGAGCGGTGCGCTAGTAAACATTTAGCAAGCGGCTCTCTGGGGGGGAGAAAAAAGGTCTGATTTGTACTGCTTGCCAATTTCCATGGCGCAGACTCCCACTATAGCCAATTTCAAGCCACCAACACAAAATCACTAAGTGCCGTGCTGGGAAGAGATGTGTAGGACCCGCGCTTGGCGCTGGGAGGCGCTGACTGCAGCGCACCACAGCGGGGGTCCTGGTACCAGTCACAATGCCAGACGCACGGGCATTTTCATTGTTTTGCGGCGCACTGGCCGGGAGGCATCCTCGGGGCTTCCCCTTCCGCACGCCTCACTGAACGGCCCTGTCACCCCCTCGCGTTCTCTCCACCTGCCCTGCTAGACGCTACCGCCACAGGAGGCCTCCCCACGTCCCCCCGCGTCCCCTCCCACCCATTCTCCAAGGCGAAGCCAGTGCCTTTGTAATACGGGAACCAGAACGCGGCCAGTGGCACATCTCTGAAACGTCAACTCCCCTCCTAGGTGCCTGCCCAAGAGAAATGAAAATACACACACCCACACCAAAATGTACATGGACTTTCACGGCAGCCTTACCCACAAGCAGAAACAACTCAAGTGTCCGTCAGCCAGTGAGGGGATAAATAAAATGTGGGGGATCCGTAACATAGAGTATTATTCAGCCACACGGAGAAACGGAGTTCTGATACACGGAAAAAGCCTGAAGACTCTGCTCAGTGATAGAAGCCACTCCCAAAGGACCACATAAGCGTATGATTCCGTTTAGACGAAATGTCCAGGGGAAGCAAATTCAGAGACTGAAAGTAGCGGTTACCAGGGGCCGGGGAAGATGCAGAGACTAGGGGACGATGGCTAAGGGGGACAAGGTTTCTCTGTGGGGTGACGAAAAGGTTATAGTTGACTGTGGTGACAGCTGCACAGCTCTGTGAATATACTAAAAACAACTGAATTGTGCATTTTAAGTTCATGAATTGTAAAGTATGTAAATTATATCTCAATAAAGGTATTGCCAAAAAAGTCCTCAGAATAAGTCCATAGGCGACAAAACGCCCTGTGAGCAGGCCCCTGCCAAGCTGGCCGGCGCCGCTCCTGCGCTCCCCCCGCACCCACACCCCCGCCACACCAGGCTGCCTTCAGCCCCCTGAACGGCACAGGTTCTCACCTCCTCCTCCCACCCCCACCCACCATCCACCCTGTCGTACCTTTGGATTCAGGATTGCTTCTTCAAGGGCGGTGTCTCTGGCTCCCCATTCAGGGCTGGCTGCCCCCAGGGAAACGTTTTCCCAGCACCCTAAGCTCTCCTCAGTCACTTGTTCTGTCTCTGCCTCTCGGTCACATGGGAGCACTGGGGGGCTATGAACACATCTGCCCGGTGGACTCAGGGTGCCCCTGCTGCTGATCACAATGCCTGCCTGACGCGCTGGCCGCACCACCGTTTTGTGAGCACACCGAGCTTCCTCCCACTCGGCCCAGCGGATGCAGGTCGGTCCCCAAGGCCTCCTGGCTGTTCCCTCCCATGAGACCTCCTTAGAAACTTCTCTGACTATTCTAAACTTCCTGTCACTCCAGTTGCTCCTTACTCTGCTTTGTTTCTTCACAGCACTTGCCACCCATCGAAATCACGTTATTATTACTATGATTATTACTGATCTCTCTTTTAGAAAGTCAGTCTCGCAAAAGACCTAGAATAGGCGATACAACATTGAAGTAGAAGAACGAAGTCGGAGGACTGATACTACTTGGCCTCAGGACGTACTATAAAGCTGCAGTGAGCCAGACGGTGTGGGATTGGTGAACAAATAGATAACAGAGCAACGGAACAGAGTAGAGAGCCCAGAAATTGACACTCTCCCCCCCCCCCCCCCCCCAACCGATCTTCGACACAGGAGCAAAGAAAATTCAACAGAGAACAGAGTCTTTATAACAAATGCTGTTGAAATAACTGGACAGCTGTCGGGGACAANCCCCCCCCCCCCCCCCAGTCAACCGATCTTCGACACAGGAGCAAAGAAAATTCAACAGAGAACAGAGTCTTTATAACAAATGCTGTTGAAATAACTGGACAGCTGTCGGGGACAAACAACCAGACACAGCCCTCACACTTTCACAAAAACAAGATCACAGACCTAAATGTCAGACACAAGACTATAAAACTCCTGGAAGATATTGGGGTGCCTGGGGGGCTCAGTCAACTGAACGACCGACTTCGGCTCAGGTCATGATCTCACAGTTCGTCGGGCTCTGTGCTGACAGCTCAGAACCTGGAGCCTGATTTGGATTCTGTGTCTCCCTCTGTCTCTGACCCTCCCCTGCTCACACTGTCTCTCTCTCTCTCTCTCAGAAATAAATAAAACATTTTAAAAAAAAAAACTCCTGGAAGATATCAAAGGAAAGAATCTAGAGGGCCTTCTTAGATAATATATCAACAGAAAAAACTGGTTTAAGTTGGACTTCATTAAAATGAAAAACGTGCTCTGCAAAAGACACAGTTAACAGAATGAAAAGCCACAAACTAGGAGGAAATCTTTGTGTAACACACGCCTGATAAAGGACTGGTCTAAAATACACAAAGAACTCTTAAAAACAGTAAGGAAACAGGGGCGCCTGGGTGGCTCAGTTGGCTGAGTGTCCAACTCTTGATTTAGGTTCAGGACATGATCTCACGATCATGAAATCGAGCCCTGCACTGAGCTCACACTGAGCGTGTAGCCTGCTTGTGATTCTCTCTCTCTGCCTTTCCCCTGTTTGTACTCTCTCTCTCTCAAAACAAACAAACAAACAAAAAACCAATAAGGAAATAAACAACCAGATTAAAGAATGAGCGAAGATCTGGACACCTGACCAAAAAAGGCATATATGACAAATATGCAAAGGAAAAGATGTTTAACTTCCTATCTCTTCAGGAAACTGAATCAACGCAAGGAGATGCTACTTCACACTTACTAAAATGCTGCAAATCCAAAATCCTGACAATACCAAGCGCTGGAGAGGATGGAGAGCAACAGGAACCCTCTTTCACTGATGATGGGATATAAAATGGCACGGCCTCACTCTGGAAGACAGCTTGGCAGTTTCTTACAGAATTAAATATACTCTTATGGGGCGCTTGGGTGGCTCAGTAGGTTAAGCATCCGACTTGGGCTCAGGTCATGATCTCACGGTTCATGGGTTCGAGCCCTGTTTCCGGCACTGTGCTGACAGCTCAGAGCCTGGAGTCTGCTTCGGATTCTGTGTCTCCCTCTCTCTCTGCCCCTCCCCCTCTCATGCTCTGTCTCTCAACCTTAAATACACTCCGAATCTGACTTCTCATCATCTCGGACTCCCCCCCCCCCCACAGGCCAAGCTGGAACCACCCCTGGCACCGAGATGATTCCGATCCCACCACCTCCTCACGGGTCTCCCAGATTCCGCTCCCGCCCTCACCAACCTATTCCCCACATTGGGCGGCCAGAGAGAGCCTTTTACTTCAGTGCGTGCGCTGCTGAAGCGAGCGAGGGAACCTTTTACCTCAAACGTCTACAAAAGTCCAGGTAGTAGATCTTTTCAGCTTTGTGGGCCCTGTGGTCTCCGTTGCAAAAACCTGCCTCGGCAGAAGCAGCCACAGGCAAGCGCAGCCATGTTCCAACAAAACTTTATTAACAACAGTCTGCCCTGCCGCAGTCTCCTCAAGCCTCCCCGTTTCAAACCTTTTCGTGGGTAACTAGCACCCAAAGCCCCACTCCCTGGCTGTCCCTCTTCCTAGCTCCCTGCTGCCCCCCTCCCCCAGAGCGCCGCCCACCCTCATGGCTCACTGGTCTCCTCCTCCACGAAGACCTCCCCGATTCTCTGATCTAAACCGGCACTCTCTCCCTGGCCCCTCCCGCCCCCAGCGTCAGCACCCCCATGACTGCTACATACTCCCGAGGTCACGGTCTGCACCGTGTCCAGCACGCGGCAGGGGCGTGACTGGTCGGCGGAGCAAAGGCGCCCGCGGCGGACACTGGCAGCGTCTGGCGAAAGAACTGGGTGAACGAGGAGGGCCCGGGGGTCTGTGTGGACCCCGTCGCGCTGGCGGCTTCCTCACCTGGCTGGCCCCCAGCCGGCTTCCTCCTCGCGGCCCTCGTCGTCCTGCGGCCGCTCCTTGCTGTCGCCCAGCTGCGGTGGCTCCTGGTCCTTGCACTCTACGACGGGCGTGTCCACCTGTGAGCACAGCCAGTGCTTGAGAGGCCAGGGGAGGGAAGGCGAGAAGGGGGTCAGTCCCCGCCCCTCCCGCCCCTTCGTCCCCGGGCACAGGGCACCTCCGTGTGCCTCCGCCGCGCAAGGCCGGGGACCCCCAGGAGGGACGCGCGGGGCTGGGCCGGGTCCCCCGAGGTCGGGGCCGTGCGCTGGGAGGGCCCTGCGCCCGGGGCGCGGGAGGCCAGAGGCGGGGAGCCCGGGGCGGATGGGGGTGAGGCCCGGGACTCCGGGAGCGGCGCGGGTGGCGCCGGGCTCCGAACTGACGGGTGTGCCGGCTCGAGTCCTTCGAGGGAGGAGAAGAGGCAGGAGAAAAAGTAGAAAAGAAAAGGATGCGGCGCCCGGGTGTCTGAGCCCTTGTCCACCCCGCTCCTGTCACGCGCCATGCATGCTTCGGGCCCCCGGGCGGTCAGCGTGTCAGTCACCCGGCCCGTCCGTCAGTCAGTTAAGAAATCGGGGCCCGGTCAGGCGAGGCGTGGCCTCTATCGTACGAGACGAGCAGCCGGGTTCGGGTCCGCCAGGGAAGCCCGAGATCTCGGCCGTTCCCCAGTCTGTCCGCCCGCCGCCCACGCGAAGGCAACAAACGCAGCGTACTCCCTGTCGCTCCATCCTGTCTTTTCCCGCCTTCTCTTTCACGGTCTCTGCGCACGCGCCGGCCCCGCCCCACGGCTCGCCCGCCGCCCCGCCCCCCCGCGCACGTGCTGTATCACGCGGTTCAGGTTCCTCCTCTTTCTGGGAACTTGCGCGCGCAGCGCGGCGGAGTCGGCCGTTAATCGGCCGTTGGGCCGTCCCGGGGGCTGCGCGCGCAGCCGGTGCCGCCCGGAGGAGGGGGTGGCTTCTGCGCGTGCGTGTGCCCGTAAGGGAGGATCCTGGGAGCTAGGTGGGTCGGAGGTATTGAGCAGTTGCCGCGTTAGTGCTTAGAAACGTTTGCAATAAAAAGTCCTGACGGTTGCTGTTGATAATGACCTCTTGCTGTAAGTGAAAACGTTTACGCAGTGCCACCTTGAATCAGAGTTACTTGTGCACTCTAAAACTGTCAGCTCCTTAAAAGCTTGGCGGCGTCTGGCCTTTACACACTTGGACCCATATCCCTTACTGATAATAGTAGTGATAATAATAATGGGCACCTGAGGAGCCACAGACTGGGAGAAAATGTTTGCAAAACGTATATTCACAACTCCTAGCCAGCATCTACAAAGAACCCGATAATAAGACAACCAACTTAAAAACGGGCACAAGATTTGAATAGGCGTGTGCAGTGCAAAGGTCCTGAGGTGGGAGCAAGCTCAAGTGTGCTTGCGGAGCAGCTAGGCCTAGTGGGGAGGGAGAACGGGGGATGGGGGAGGCTGTGAGTGAGGGATCAATGTTGGGCAGGTTTGGGCTGGGAGCCAAAGCAAGGGGGAACTGGATTTTGCTCCAGTTCACTGGTGAGGAGGTGGAGCCGCTCTCTGGAATACGTGCCATAGTGTCCGTGTAGGAGAGGCAGCAGGAATCCTGTGCAGGGCTCTGGCTTCTGCCACGCAATGACTAGGGGACCCATCTTGACACCTACATTCTGGAGAACATGGTTTGAATCTGGGTTCCGTCTCTTACCAGCAAGAGGGGCTGAAGTGGGCAAGGGCGGTATAAAACTGCCACTCGATTTCAAAATCCATCTTTGCCTGTAACTGAGACAATAAAATCTAAAACATCAGACTATTTCAAGGGCTTCAGAGAGAAACCTATGGAACGCAATGTGAGTTTAAGACACAGCAGCTAATATTAGTGTCTTATGGCAGAGCCACCATGTAAACAAAAGGTAGCTTCCTGCGGCACCAGATCTGAAGATTTGAGGATTATCTGAGAAAAATCTCCCAAGATTTACTGGTAAGCATGCACACACCGACACGTACACACTGAACAGCAACAAAAGCAACACCATCTGCAGCATTATTTTTGTTTTTATGGTGCAGAGTCTGTATAACTTTTGAAGACAAGGTCAAACCATGTTTTGTGAAAATAATATATACAGTAGCAAAAGTTGAAAACCACAGGAGAATGATAAACACCAAATTTAGGAGGGAGCCGTCTCAGCGAGGTGCTGGCTAATGCAACTAGGGCGAGCCCATAGGGTCGTCAAACCATTAGGTGCATGGATCTAAAACGTGAAAGACCCAAAACAAATACGGTCACTGTTCAGATGTGGTCAAACCCGGGGGCAGATTGTTAGGCTACTACTGTATATGCTTCACCTTCCCCGCCCACCTCCACTTTCCTGTGGCCTCACCTCTCCATTTCTGTATTTATCTGTTTATGCCTTCTGTGCACCCTTCCCCCCACATCGGCTCCCAAGGGCAGGGACCGGAGTCCGCTTTGTGGTCTTCAGCTCAGGACACTGCTGGCACTCACGAGGGGCACAGTTGTTGCATGAATGAGTATTTTTCTGTGTGACTGACTTAATTTGAAATAAAGAAAAAATAATATGACCGAGTAGCCCTTGGGAGATCTGTGCCAGCAGGCCCTGGGTCCGGAGAAGCCCACAGCCTCAGCTGCTTGGGTTTAACGGTGGCCTCATGGTTCTAGAACTGTTCACATTTCCAAAGTGCACTGACCCTGAAGATGTGGGGTGAGCAACATGGAGACTGAGATTTGCTCTAAAATATCCGCACAAGGGGTGCCCACGTGGCTCAGTCGGTTTAGCGTCCGACTTCGGCTCAGGTCATGATCTCAGAGTTTGTGGGTTCGAGCCCTGTGTCGGCCTCTGTGCTGACAGCTAGCTCAGAGCCTGGAGACTGCTTCAGATTCTGTATCTCCCTCTCTCACCCTCTCCTACTCACGCTCTCTCAGAAAAAAACAGAACACATAAAAAAAAAGTACGTGTATATATATCCACACAGAAACAGACCCCATGGACTGTTCAATGTAGGCTCACGAAGCTCTAGTCTACTCCTCTCCTTCTTCTGAGCTCATGTGAAATCCTGAGAATTTTTTTTTTAATATTTTTATTTTATTTCTAGGGGAGAGAGAGAGAGAGAGACAGCGTGAGCAGGGGAGGGTCAGAGAAAGAGGGAGACACAGACTCTGAAATAGGCTCCAGGCTCTGAGCTGGCAGTCAGCACAGAGCCCGATGCGGGGCTCAAACCCACGAACCGCGAGATCATGACCTAAGCGAAAGTCGGATGCTTAACCGACTAAGCCACCCAGGCGCCCCGCTGAGAATTTTTTTTAATGTTCACTTATTTTTGAGACAGAGTGTGAGTAGGGGAGGGGCGGGGGGGGGAGACAGAGAATCCGATACAACCTCCAGGCTCTGAGCTGTCAGCAGAGCCCAACGTGGGGCTCGGACTCCTGAGCTGAAGTCGGATGCTTAACTGACTGAGCCGCCCAGGCGCCCCTTATGAGGTTGGTTGGTGGTTTTTTTTTTTTTTTTTTACAAAGAGCAGTTTAGGGGCAGGATGGAGGGATGAACGGGTGGCGCACAAGCCCTTTAGGGCAGTGAAGATACTCTGCGTGATACTGTAATGATGCAAACACATCATCTTATGTTTGTCCCAACCCAGAGCATGAACCACACTGTAAACCATGAACTGCGCGAGACTGTGATGTCTGTGTAGTTCATTCCTTGTACCAAACGCCCCACTCTGGGGGTGAAGGTGTTGTGTTGACAGAGGGGAGGCCGTGCATGCATGGGGGTGGAAGGTATATGGGAAATTTCTGTACTTTCCTCGCAGTATTGTGATATGCCAAAAACTGCTCTTTAAGAAAAAAAGGAGGAGGCGCCTGGGTGGCTCAGTCGGTTGAGCGTCCGTCTTTGGCTCAGGCCATGCTCTCACAGTTTGTGAGTTCGAGCCCCACGTCGGGTTCTGTGCTGACAGCTCTAAGCCTGGAGCCTACTTCAGACTCTGTGTCTCCCTCTCTCTGCCCCTCCCCCACTCACACTCTTACTGTCTCTCAAAAGTAAATAAAAGAAAAAAAAAAGAAAGAAAAAAAGGAGGGGAGGGGGCGGTGTCTTAAAGCTGCCCCCGTCACCCCACCATGCTTGGCTCCCAGGGGGAATCCTGCCACCTGCCTGACCTTCCCCTCCCAAATGCCCCTTCCACGGGGCGGGGGGCTTCTGTTCCATTCACCTAGAGGACAGCCTGGCACCGCCATGGGATTGGTAAGTGCTTGATGGAGCTGGTCTCCCCCAGTGGCTCGGGCTCAGGCAAGTCAGGAGCCCGAGGGTCCAGGACCCCCAACCCACTGCCCCTCACACTCCTGCGTCCCGAAGGAAAGGCACCGTCTGAGGACAACTGCCCACTTTATTAGCCAGCAGCTGCCTGCAGGGCTCCCTAGGGCCCACCTCCTTAGATCGAACCTGCTGCCCGCTCCCCCGCCCCTGGGGCCGTGGGGCAGGCGGGGAAGAGGAGCTACCAGGGGTGGGGGGGATGGCCTCATAGAGGCCTTATAAATACAAGGGCGTCACTGGCAGGGATGCAAAGGGGCTGGACAGCAGGGGCTTGGCAACGGCGGGCTGTCCCAGGGCGGTCTGTGTCATGCGGTGCCCTGTGTCCGCGGGGGCCCCGGGTCAGCATCCAGGCGACACAAGGGGCTGTCGTACACCATCTGCAGGTTCACCTTGTGGCCCACCAGCTCCCGGATGTTGTTGATGCCGTACTTGATCATCGTCGGGCTTCGGGTGGGGAGGGGAGGAAACAGTTTTAGGGCCACGTACGGGCATGCTCCCCCCCCAAGCAGGCGTCTCCGGTGGTTCCCATCTACTTAGAATAAAAGCCTGTGGGGAGCCTAGGGGGCTCAGTTGGTTAAGCGTCCGACTTTGGCTCAGTTCATGATCTCATGGTTCCTGGGTTCGAGCCCCGCATCGGGCTCTGTGCTGACAGCTCAGAGCCTGGAGCCTGTTTCAGATTCTGTGTCTCCCTCCCTCTCTGCCCCTCCCCTGCTCATGCCCATCTCAAAAATAAACTATGAAAAAATTAAAACAAAAAAAAAAGCCCGACTGCTCCCAGGGCTCACGAGGCCCTGATGTGTCCTGTCCCTTCCCCAGCCTCATCTCATCTCATTCTACTTACTCACTTCCTCCAGCCACCTTGACTTTCTCCATGTTTTCCAAATGTAGCATGCACATTCCTGCCTCAGGGCCTTTGCACTGGCTGTTCCTGCTGCCTTCCCGATACTCCCCTGGCTTACACCATCCACCTCCAGTCTGCTCAGATACCACCTCCTCCTTGAAGCCTTCCCTGACACCCTTGTCTCCTTGGCCCTCCCTGCTGTGTTTTCTCTACAGCACTTCCTGGCTTCAGACACACTCCTGACTTTACTTGTTCAATTTCCTTACCTATCTTCCTATTTATTATCCTTCTCACTGCACTACAAGCCTAACCTCACAGCAGCAGGGACGTGTGCTGTCGTTCTCAGAGCACAGGCCCAAGCATACAGCCGATGCTCACTAAAGGCTTATCGCGTGAGTGAAAAGATGGATGGTGCTGGGGGTCCCCAGCCTCCGGGGCCCGGCTCATCACACACCGAGTGGTTTGGGCACTCACCGCTCCAGGGAGAGGCCCCACGCAATGACGGACACGTTTTCGGGGAGCCCCATGGGCAGCAGCATCTCGGGGCGGAAGAGCCCAGAATTCCCGACTTCCACCCACTTTTTCAGGCCTGCAGAAGTGGGAGGAGGACAGGTAGGTCGTGTGGATGGTCGTGTGGGCCTGGCAGCGAAAGGGCCCCGCGGGGAGCATGGGAAGCCCGAGGCAGCCCTCCCCCTCCCAGGACCGGATTCCCCCTGACCTTGGTGGTAGCTGAACACCTCCATGCTGGGCTCCGTGTAGGGGTTGTAGGCCGGCTTGAAGCGCAGCTGGGTGATCCCTGGGCCAGGGAGGGAGGCAGGGAAACGGAGGAGGGGCGGATGAGCCTGGAGGCCACGGCCCCCTCACACAGCCCCACTCACACCGCCCGCTGCAGCCCACCTGCCTACCCAGCTTCGTGAAGAACTCCCGCAGGACGCCCATGAGGTGGCCTAGGGTGAGGCCATGGTCAGCCACCACGCCCTCGATCTGGTGGAACTCGGCCAGGTGTGTGGCATCCAGGGTCTCGTTTCGGAACACGCGATCAATGGAGAAGTACTTGGCTGGCGTAAAGGGTTTCTGGGGGCGACAGGCAGGCCAGGCCCGGGAGTGGGTCAGAAGGCGGACAGGACAGCCCCCTGCCTCCCCCTATGGGTCAGGCCGAACCACACCTTCTGGGCCAGGCGGTAGAGGGCGCGGGCGCTGGCCGACGTGGTGTGTGTGCGCAGCACCGTCTTCCGGGCCTCTTCCAGCTTCCAGTTGTACTTGTACCTTCAGGAGGACCGGCGGCAAGTCCGCGTTGTGGCCTTCATGCCCCCAACCTTCCTCCCCCCAGCCTGACACCGCGAAGTCCTGGTCCCGCCTCACCCCTGTGAGCCGTAGCCGCCCTGAGAGTGGGTCCGCTTGACCCGCTGGACGTAGTCCATTGGAAGCTGCAGGGCCTCGGCCGGATCTGGGCAGGACAGAGCGTCATCCGGTCAGTCAAGGAGCAGTTCTCAAACAGCCACTGCACAGGGGACAGACAGCAGCACGTGCCGCTCCCACCCTCGCCACCCACAGCAGCCGGGGGAGCCTGTGAACACCCTTCCTCTGCCCAGAGCCCTCCATTTCCCTGGGGGTGGGAGTGTGACAAAGCACTCTCTTCAGTAGGGGCCTCCCAGCTGATAGGTCAGCACACCAGGCACATACCAGCCTCAGGGCCTTTGCACTGACCATCCTCTCCTGGAACTTTCCTTCCCAGATATAGTTCTCTCCCTTACGTCCTTTGGCCTTTACTTAAACAAAGACTTGATTTTAGGTGGACAGCTCCTTCCCCTTCCATGTCAGTTTCCACTGTGTCTACTGCCATCCTGTGTGACATGTTCCGTACGACTCGGGATTTAATATACATGTATCCCACCAGGATGCAGGCCTCACCAAGGTAAGAACTTGTTTCATTCACAGCTGTAACCCAGGGGTTTAATAAAGACCCTGGCATACAGGAGGGGCTGAACAATCATTTGTTGCGTGAATGTGCAAATTCTTTTTTTTTTAATTTTTTAATGTTTTATTTTTGAGAGAGAGAGAGAGAGAGAGAGAGACAGCGTGAGCAGGAGAGGGAAAGAGAAGGAGACACAGAATCCGAAGCAGGCTCCAGGCTCTGAGCTGTCAGCACAGAGCCCAACGCAGGGCTTAAACCCACAAACTGTGAGATCATGACCTGAGCCGAAGCTGGACGCTTAATCGACTGAGCCACCCAGGCACCCCAAACATGCAAATTCTTAAGATCCCTTTCTGGAAACCTCATTTCGGAGCACCTGAAAAGCCTGACATCAAACCCCAGCCCCACCACTTACAAACCTGGGCAAATGATGTTCCTTCTTGGAACCCTAGTGTCCTCGTTTACAAAAGGGAGCTAAGAGCGCTACTTCCTACAACTGGCAGAAGAATTAGAGCAGTGGCTGGTGTACGGTGAGTGCCTGGTTAAGTGTGGGGAGCCACGGTAAGGATGACAGCAATGCCACCATTGCTCCTGGCTGGGTGACGGGCACCCGCTCGCTGGCCCCCCCCGCCTTCCTGGGTGGGATGACTACAATCATTGCGGAAAGTCATTCCATTTCAGACAATACCAAGCGCTGTGGAAAAAAGAAAAAACTGAGAACCAAGCTTGAAGACTAGGGATGAGGGACGTTTTGAACTTGGGGGGACGAGGGCATGTCCAGCTGGCCTCTGTGAGGGGACACGTCAGCAGAGGTTTGATGCTGGAGCCCGCCTCGAAGCTCTGGGAGAAGGTGAGAGAGCTGCCCAGCAGCATGGGCAAGGGCCATGACGTGGGCAGGACGGGGCGTGGGACGAAGTCACCCAGGTCAATGCGCCCGGCTCATGGCAGCCCCGCGGGTCACTGTGAGGATGGAGTTTATCCTGCGAGAAGAGTCAGCCCCTCCCAACAGCTCTGCCTGGGGCCTGGCGCCTCTGAGCCCGCCCCACCCACCTCGAAGGAAGAAGGTGTCGTGTTGGTCACGTGCTGGGTGTTGCTGGGGCTGGAAAAGGGCGTCAAAGTTCCAGAAGGAGCTCTCAATGAAGTTGTCGGTCGGCATCTCCGTGAACCTGGAGGGAGATGAAGCCTGACGCCCCGCCTGCGCCCCGCGGCTGCGCCGCCCCCGCCCCCGGCCCTGTGCTCACCCCATCTCCAGGAAGATCTGCCGGAACTGCGTGCGGACCTTGAGCAGAGGGTGCAGGTGGCCGCTGTCTGGGAGGACGCCGTGGGCCAAGAAGTTGTACGGCTTGAAGGGCCGGTCCCGCCAGGAGCCGCTGTCAGAGGACACAGGGACCAGGGGCCTGGTGAGGGCTGCCCTCCCTCCCCGACCTACCCCAGCCGCTGGGACCACCCCCTACCTGGAGATCATCTCTGGGCTCAGCTCCGTCTCCTGCTTGGAGATGCTGGTGCTGAAGGCACTGCCTTTGCTCACCCAGTAGGTCTTCAGGGTCCTGAGGCCAGAGGACAGGAGGGGACGCCCACCGTCACCTCTTTCGAGAGGCTTCCCTTGAACTCCTATCTGATGCTGACCCCAACCCTACCCACCGAGTCACTCTATTTTCTCCCTGACATTTACTGTCATTTGAAATTTTCCTATTTCGCCTGCACCTACATAGCTGTTCCCATTCACTTATTCATTCAACAAACACTTGATGAGAACCCGCTATGTGCCAGGACCTGTTCAAGGCGCTTAAGCACACAGCCGAGTAAGAATCATAGGTCAAGTGTCAAGGGTTTATTCCGTGCCAGGCTCTCTTCCACTGAAATCATCCCACTACCTTGTGAAAAGAGGTCATTTAACAGATGACGAAACTGAGGCCAGAAAGATAGAGTGCCTTGGCCGAGGTCACACAATGAGTAAGTGCCAGAGCCCAGACCTGGATTGGGCAGCCCTCCGCCAGTCTGTGTTCTCAGAACTACTGTGCCACTCGGTATTTGCTCCAAGGGCACATCAGCCCTTGAGAGCAGAGCACCCCGCCTGCCCAGGTCCCAGTGGTTAAAGATGCTGAAATTAGGGGCGCCTGGGTGGCTTAGTCGGTTAAGTGTCCGACTTTCGCTTAGGTCATGATCTTGCGGTTCGTGGGTTCGAGCCCCGCGTCGGGCTCTGTGCTGACTGCCAGCTCAGAGCCTGGAGCCTGTTTCGGAGTCTGTGACTCCCTCTCTCTCTGACCCTCCCCTGCTCACGTTGTCTCTCTCTCTCCTAGAAATAAATAAAAAATATTAAAAAATATTAAAAAAAAAAAGATGCTGAAATTAGAGCTGTAAAGGCAACAAACATAGCACCCAGGATGGAAAATATAAGCGAACAGCTTTTATGGCACTCCGAGGGACAGATCGGTGTCACCTCTTTCAGGTGACACACAGGCAGAGGTCTGACGCCCAAGCCTGGCTTAAGGGAAGACAGTTCTCGGCAGAACTCATGGCATGAGCAAAGGCCCTGAGGTGGCATGAACCCAGCATGAGTGCTTGACAACCACTGGGAAAAACACAGCTCAGAGGACACTGACAGCACCGCCCTGATCATCCTCATTCCCCCAGGACCACATAGGTTACGGGCGATGGGGGGGCGGGGGGGGGCACTCACACTTCGGTCAGCAGTTTCCTCTTCCTGAGCTCGCTCCTTTCCTTCTCACCCAGCTTCTCCGCCTGCCCACCCTGGACCAGCTGGAGCCGCCGCTGTACCTCGTCCTCCACGCTGTCCACCTGCGGTGATGACAGTCGTGAGAGGCTGTGAGGGCCAGGTGCGCGTGCGCATGCGCAGCCCCGCCCCCTGCGTGGGACTCACCACTCGGAACACCCGGGGCCCGTCAGCTGTACTCTTATCCACGCGGATCCACTTGTTGGACATGGCCTTGCTGAAGCCCACCTTGCCGCTGGGCAGTCGCTGGGGCAAGTAAGGCCACAGTAAGCGGTGCGCAAGCCCCCCCCCCCCCGACCCCCCCGACCCCATCATCTCCCTGGGCCTTGCCCCTGGGCCCTTACCATGAGCTCGCTCTGGGCCAGGCCCTCCGGGGGGATGCTACCAAACACCCGGGCCTCATGGCTGCCCTCCCGGGCAATCTCCTCGCCCTCTGCGGTGAGCTCCCAGCACTTAGTGGACCGCAGCTCGGCCTCAATGATCTGCAGGGAAATGGGGGAAGGGGCACCCGCAGAGACAGGGTTCAGAGCCAGGCACGCCCCCAGCGCCGCCTGAAGCCAGCCTTACATCCAAGCCGCACCGCTTCCCAGCCAAGTGACTGCCCTTGGCTGAGCCTCAGTTTCCCTCCTGTAAATGTGGATAACGACAGAGTAGTTTCCAGAGTGACAGAAACTACTAAGGATGGTACCTAGCAAAAAATAAATTCTATTGCTTTCAAATCTTTAGAAAGCTTTCTAAAGTCCAGGTGAACTGATTTGTCTCCACATCTGATATGTTGGCCTCTCAGTGCCCCGAGTGCCCGAGAAGGGCCCCGGTGTCCCCATTACACACAGGACGTAAGGCTCCATGATAAGGATGGGTTCAGGTCGTATAAAGCGAGGCAGGGCCGGCTGGGGTCCACAGGCTTAGCCCCCTTTCCATTCGAATTCCCAGCTCTCCTCCTCATTCCCTGTGTGAACTTGGGAAAGTTGCTAAGCTTCCCTGAGCAAGGTTTCTTATCCACAAGAGAAGGGTGTGATGGGCTCTCCCACAGGAAGCTTTCTCGACGAGTAATTGAGTTAACACCCGGAAAGGATTCAGCAAGCAGCAAATTCTGTATCAATTCTAACCCCTATTTCTGTTGTCAGTATTACCATCTCTGCTGTCAGGCTGAACCACATCAAATAGCCACTACCTCACCTTCCGTGACCAACACAAGTCAATCCCACATCAGTCAAGGTACTGTCACCCCACACAAGATTCCTATTCTGCACTGAGGACTCCGCAGCCTGAATGCTTAACTTCTTTTTCTTTTAAAAATGTTTTTAATCTTTACTCATTTGAGAGAGAGAGAGAGAGATAGCATGAGCAGGGGAGGGAGAGAGGGAGACACAGAATCGGAAGCAGGCTCCAGGCTCTGAGCTGTCAGCACAGAGCATGATGCGGGGCTTGAACTCACAAACCGTGAGATCATGATCTGAGCTGAAGTCGGACGCCCAACCGACTGAGCCACCCAGGGAGATGCCTCCAAATGCTTAATTTCAAATCCAGGCTTGCCTGTTCCTTCTAGTGACCCTGATCAAGTTACTGACCAGTGTTTAGAAGCTGTCACATCTGCAAAGTGGGCATGATTACAGTGCTATCATCCTTAGGTTATGACAAGGACCGGATGATAAGCAAACCTAAGACCAAAGTGGGATACGGAATATAAGCTCAATGAATACATACCTCGGTTACATTTTCTTTTTTTTTTTTTAATTTTTTTTAATTTTTTTTTTTTAATTTTTTTTTTCCTAGGAGAGAGAGAGACAGCGTGAGCAGGGGAGGGTCAGAGAGAGAGGGAGTCACAGACTGAAACAGGCTCCAGGCTCTGAGCTGGCAGTCAGCACAGAGCCCGACGTGGGGCTCGAACCCACGAACCGCGAGATCATGACCTAAGCGAAAGTTGGACGCTTAACCGACTAAGCCACCCAGGCGCCCCATCCTCGGTTACATTTTCTGATGCCTAGCCTTGAGGATCCAGCCTCTGGGTGGCCTCCAGGCCTCTCAATTTCCTCCTATGACTATCACTTTCCACTCGTCCAAGTAAAAAGGGCTGGACTTATCCATGCTCCCCCTGCCTTGCCAGGAATCCCCTCTCCATTCACCTGCCTCCCTTCCCTCGGACCCCATGCCCTCTACCTTGGGGATGTGACAGCCTCTGCTTTCCTCCCCTCCCAACCAGTCCCTGCCAATCCTTTCCCAAAGTGACGCGGACAGCACACGCCTCTCACTGGTTCCAGCTCCTGCCATGGCTCCCCAGTGCCCCCGCTGAGATAAAGACCTACAAGGCCTTGCAAGTTTTGGCTCTAAGAATGTCCTTCTACATTCTGTTTCCCGTTCCCACCACTGATCTCTGAAGCGTTCCTCCTCAGCGCAGAGGCCGGACTCAGCTCCCACCTTCTCCAGGACGTTCTTTCCGACTCCCCGGGCTGGGCCAGCTGTCCCCTCTGGGTTCCCTGTGCTTCCTCCATCACTCTGCGGGTCGCCTGAGGAGCTCCCTCATGAGATCGCAATCTCCGTGAGGGCGGTGACCGCGTCTTCCTGGTCACCATCGTGCCCCCCCCCCCCAGCGCCTCCTTATCTCTCAATGGACATTTACTGCGAACGGAACGTGGCCGCCCCCCTGCCTGCGCACCCCAGGAGGGGCTCCTGAAGGGCTCATCAAGAACCAGGGCCTTCCAGACAAGAAGACTGCAGGCACCAAAGCGAGAACACCAGACATCACGGGCCCGACTCACCTCTCCCAGCGCTTGCAGGCTCTTCACGGCGCCCACCACCGCCTGGTGCTCCACGCCCAGCTTAGCCGCCAGCTCCGCGCTGTCCAGGCCGCCATCGGCCGCCGCCAGCTGCCGCAGCAGCACCTCCGCCACCGGACCGTCCGCCATGGCTGCTCCCAGCGTGCTCGGCGTGTCCCGCCGGAGCCTGAACGACCGGAACCGGAACCGGCGCAGGGAGTGTGTGTCGCCATCTTGAGTGTGGCGGACCGTGTGCCGGGCTCAGGATGCCGCCATCTTCAGTGTGGCGATTGTGCCTCCGACGGTGGGAGGGACTCCGTGCCCACCTCCCCTCTAGCTGGACTAGTGTCCAGTGGACTAGAGAGACCAAACTGAAACCTCAAGGACAGAATCAGAGTTGTTTTAAGGGTCATCCAGCCCCACCTCCAGGAGGCGGTGTGACCTTGGACTTCCCTCTCTCTGAGCCTAGGAGCCCTCTGCCCTTCTCTCTTGGCCTGTGGGAGGGCTGTAGGTCGTGGGCTTCAGAGACAGCCATTTCCTGGTCAACTATTTTTAATTTTTTTCTTAATTTTTAGTGTTTATTTTTAAATTTTATTTATTAGTTTTTTCTTTATTTTTGAAATAGAGAGACAGAGCATGAGCGGGGGAGGGGCAGAGAGAGAGAGGGAGACACAGATTCTGAGACAGGCTCCGGGCTCTGAGCTGCCTGCACAGAACCCAATGCGGGGCACCAACCCACAAACTGCGAGATCATGACCTGAGCCGAAGTCGGAAGCTCAACCGACTGAGCCACCCAGGCGCCCCTTTTAGTGTTTATTTTTGAGAGACAGAGAAACAAAGAGCCAGAGAACAGTGGGGGCGGGGGGAGAGAGAGGGGAAGGAGAGAGAATCCCAAGCAGGCTTCACACGCAGAGCCAGACTGGGACTCATTCCCACAAACTGTGAGATCATGACCTGAGCCAATAGCAATAGTCGGTCACTTAACCGACTAAGACACTCAGGCACCCTTAAAGTTTTTAAAGGAAGGCTAGGTAGGGACCATCCCTATATATACAGGGATGAGGGGATCAACTAATATAGTTACAGTCAAGGTAGCAGCTAACCTGTATGCACATCTGTGTGTGCTCCACCCAGTGCTAAGTGCTTCAGGTGTGTTGTTTCATATTCCCAAAAGCTTTGATACAGATATTGATATAATTCCCATTTCACAGATGTGAAAATGGAGGCTCAGAGGGTGGTAAGTCTTCACCATCGTTCTACAGGCAGTTGTTAGAGATGGAGTCAGAAACTATAAACACCTCGGATCCCACCCCGATCCCTGCATGCTCTTCGAAGGTCAATGTCAGGACAAGAATGCATACCCTAAATCAGTTCTGGCCATAGAACATAGGATAAATTAAATGTAGTTGTAAGCTTTCTAGCAGCAACGTTAAAAACAAAATGGATGACATTAATTTGAAGAATTCGCCAAACTTGATATGCCCAAATTATCATTTCAATACTTACTATAGGGACGCCTGGGTGGCTCAGTTGGTTAAGCGTCCGACTTTGGCTCAGGTCATGATCTCGTGGTTCGTGGGTTCGAGCCCCACGTCCGGCTCTGTGCTGACAGCTAGCTCAGAGCCTGGAGCCTGTCTTCAGATTCTGTGTCTCCCTCTCTCTCTGACCCTCCCCTGCTCACGCTGTCTCTCTCTCTCAAAAATAAATAAAACATTTTAAAAAAATACTATAAAATTACTAGAGAAGTATTTCACATTCTTTTTTCATAGTAAGCCTCCAGAATCTGATGAGTGTTTTACAGTTATGGCACATCTCAGTTGAGACCAGCTACATTTCAAATGGTGGATAGTTACATGTGGCCAGTGTAGATTATAGTAGACAGTGTAATGGATTCCAATTCCCTTTATGCCACTCAGCCAAATCGGTTAATCTTTCTGTGCCTGTTTCCTTGCCTGGATAGAGGTGATATAAACCTGGGTTATCGTGAGATTTTAAGTGAAATATCACCCACCCACGTACACGTATTTGCTAATATTTAATTGTATGGACCATGTGACAAGCACAATTCTAAGCAGAACATCTTTACTCATTTAACCATCACAATTATTATTTGAGCCTGGAAAATGGGTTTACTCATACCACCCAATCCTGATCCTACAGTGAGCTCCTGGTAAAAATTCAAGATGTGTCCCTCAAAGTCCCTTCTTAGCTTCAAAGCACTTTTCTCCATTTTCACTTATTGAATTTCTCCAAGGGTCTTTCCTTCTTCCTGTCACGTAGCAAGTAGGTTCGGTGCCAGGGGCTGCAAGAGACACTGGAGGGTAGTGAAGTAAGACATAGTATCTACTCACCAGCAGGAAGCCCCAAGCGCCTGTTTGCATGACATATGGTGGAAGGGAGGGGAGGCTGGAGGGTCCGCGGCAGGCCTGCAGCGGTCACCGCAGACTGGGGCTCCTTATGGTGGGTGGGGGCAGGTTGGGTGATATTGGACACTGCCTGGGGCAAACCCCCAACTTCTCCAAGATTCCTTATTCCCCCCTTTGCTGAGTCCCCACCACTATCCCGTAAAAACCCTTACCGCCTTTTGCCCAGGATTTCCCCCTTCCCCCTTCCCGGCCCGGGTTCCCAGGTCCAGCGCCTGTTTGCTCAGAGTTTGGGAAACCCCCAGCCCTCCTTCCTGCTTCCTGCAGCTTGGGGGCAGGGAGCCGCTGTCAGTCACTGTCAGTCACGTGCCTCTGGCTTCAGAAGACGCTAGACTCAGGGGTCCTGCCCATCTCCCTCGGACCTTATCTTCCCTACCATCTGTCTCTTTTTTTTTCCTCCCCAACGGAACCCCCATCTTCTCCTCTTTAGCCGTTTAATTGCAAAAGCCAGGCCGTTTGTGGGAGACCACAGGCAGCGACCCCTTTACTGGCTGAGGGAGGGGGTAAAGGAGAGGCCGCAACGAGAGGAACAACCCTACCCGTCTGGGAACCACAGCCTATAGTCACATCGTGGAGCTTTCTGGGGTTCCTTCCCTTTGTCCCAGGACCACCGTCACAGCACTGAAAGCGGGTCTGTAGGGCGGCACCTAGCCAAGGTTGCTCCTCCAAGCCTCTTAGGGGCTCCTGTGCCGTCAGAGGCTAAGTGACTTGCTTCGGCCACATGGCAGCAGTCTGACAGGCTGCCAGGGGCCAGAGAGGAGAGAGCTAACGTTTTATTCTCCGGGTTGCAAGGCTGTGAGGTGAAGACCCAAGGACTCAGCCTCTGAGCTCAGGCGCCTCGGCCCCACCGTGGCCTGGGGCGGGGGCGAGCGACAGCAAGCGCGTCGGAGTAGGGGTTCCCCGATTGCAGGGTAGAAAGTGGCTGGGAAAGCCTTGCCCACCCTTACCCGCGGAGGGAATGAGACAAGGCGAGCTGGGGCAGGACCCAGGTCCTGTGCAGTGGCACCTGCACTCGCGCGCGTTCTTTAAACTCCCAGAGCAGGAGCTGAGCGCGCGGGCTAGGGCGGGGTTGGGTCGAGGTCTGGTCACATGACCTGGCTAGAGGAGCTCGAGGCCCCCCCCACCAGTGGGCGGCCCCCACAACGCGTGGTCGTCCTTCATTGGCCAGTTGTATGGCCAATAGAAATCGGCCATCTGGGAACCCTGCGTTCCGAGGCACATACTAACATGCTCAGACGACAAGGGCCCAATGGAAAGTCAGGGCCGTGGGCACCGACCAATTATAAGGGGTACAGGGCGGGACAAGAGGCCGGGCCAGGTTGGTTTGAGAGGCAGAAGGGTATAAAAACGCGCGGCCGGCGGCAGCGTCCGTCCCTACTGCAGAGCCGCCGCCGGAGGAGAGATTTAAAGGGCCCGCGCGCCGCCGCCCCCTCGGCCCGCCATGCTGCTACCCGTGCCGCTGCTGCTCGGCCTCCTCGGCCTGGCCGCCGCCGAACCCACCATCTACTTCAAGGAGCAGTTTCTGGACGGAGGTAAGGCCTGGCGCCGCCTCGAGGCCGCCCCGACGACGAAGGCGGTCCCTCAGCTTAGGTCTGCGTTGTCGCCTGTAATAATTGTTTAGAGGGCCAATACGGTGGTCTCCGGGGACTAGAGCCGCAGGCGAGCCTCCCTTGTGCGTCCCTGGGGAGCGTCGAGGATGCAGCGGACTCTCGCGGCGTGAGTTAGGGTTCGGCGGAGGATCCCTTAAGCCATCGAAGGTGTCAAACTAGAGGTTGGGGTGGGGGCAGTCGAGAGTTATCGCTTTTCCAATCGGCAGCAGTTTGAAGCTATTGGCAGACATTCGGTGGGGGCGGGGGGCGGTCAGTACGGCCGCACTGACCTGCTCCTTTGATCCTCTAGACGGGTGGACTGATCGCTGGATTGAATCCAAACACAAGTCAGATTTTGGTAAATTTGTTCTCAGTTCCGGCAAGTTCTACGGCGACCAGGAAAAGGATAAAGGTACGAGCCCGACGGAGGGGGGAGGCGGTGATCGGATTCAGGGGTACTTCCTGGAGGAAGCCCTTGCACAGGACAGACCCAGCCTGGGATCGCACGAGCAGGGCAGAGGGGAGGAAGGAGCAGTGGTCTGTATGGCCAGAACTTAGGAGTCCATGGAGGTTGGGGCTGAGCTGTGACCTCACTGTGGTCTTTTGCTAGGGCTGCAGACAAGCCAGGATGCTCGCTTTTACGCCTTGTCGGCCAGATTCGAGCCCTTTAGCAACAAGGGCCAGACGCTGGTGGTGCAGTTCACAGTAAAACACGAGCAGAACATCGACTGTGGGGGCGGCTACGTGAAGCTATTTCCAGAGGGCTTGGACCAGACGGACATGCACGGAGACTCGGAATACAACATCATGTTTGGTGAGGGGCCCCGCCCTGGTGCTGACCTCTGATTAGAGGGAGACTTAAATCTCAGGGACTCTTAGAGCCAGTGACAGGTAGTTTTGAGAAAACGGACCTACTTAGGTAGTTGAGGGTTGCTTTAGGAGGGAAAGCTGAGAGGATTGCGTTGTTATTGTTGGTGTGGAACTTAATTTGTGGGGTTTCTTGTAGTTACTTCCTGATATTAACCATATTGAATTCTAGAGTTCCAGCTGGTTAGTTATTTCCTCTTTGAAAGATTTCACCTACAGACCCTTAGAGCCAGTCAGAGTCTGAATCCTGTCTTGTGATCCTTTGCAGATGTGTACTTAACCAAGTTT